CGCAGCTATAACCGCTGCCTAACCGTTCATTTCTGCTACCAACAGCAAGTGATTTTGCCTCTAATCGTAACATTCCTCCAGTATTTAAATTTTATAAGCAAAAGAAACAGTGCAAATATACTTATGGATTGCCCTATTTAGATAGTATCTCCTTGTCAAGTTGGCTTATTTATGAGTTACCATTCTAGACCTAAGCAGCGTTGATTCAATGTTAGTTTGGTTTTGACACCCTTAGAAGATTTTTTCACGAACACAGCTACTCACTTCGGCGCATGCTCATAAAGAGTATCTACCTGGCTTTACGAGGATATTTTCGATGCGATTCTATATTATTTCATTCAAATTTTTCGTTTCTGCTCTCGACATTTAGCTCAAAGATGCATTTATCCATATAGTGCTAACATCGCTGACATTCAAGTGCAAGTTAAGCTCTACATTCATCATATTCTCCTCATACAAGGGCATTCAAGCGTTGCTATGTTGCTTGCAGGAATTCGCTCTCTAATTTTAGACTCGATTAACCTGGACTTTCGTCACACTCCATTTACCTGGAACAAATATGATGCGAAACAAATTGCACAACAACGGAGTGTTTTTCCGTGTTCCTCATTTCATTTGTTTTGAATGCAAGTGGCGTAGTGGTATGAGGCGCCGATATGACTAGGCCGGACAAAGTTTCGATCCCTCCCTTGGGCCAACCAACTTCTCTACCCTCTGCCGTTAAATTGGTACCAGAGTAATCCGAAAAACGAAGAGCACTGACTTTGTAACCCCTGCAAGTTATTGTAAAGTCATGCACGCATTTGGAATCCTCTTCGATCATGAAGTAGAATACGTTTACAGCATGCTCAAAGACGGTACTGAAAACTTCGAATTCCCTTTGATGGCACAATTACATATTTCTAGTGGTTATGGAGTTCGAAAAGAATGAGGGTTCGGCATTCTTGCCTATTTATTCACAGCCATGTTCCCCCTTTGTGTCTGCACATCGTTAAAAGAAAATGCTCTCTGGCTACAGTACTTGACGTCATCATGCTTTGCGTACATCATTTTAAAATAGTTGCAAAGTGGTGCCTTTGTTTCCATTCAAACTCCTACTTCAAGGAATGCCGCAGTAATATTACAGCTGTAGGACTGTTTTGATAATTTTTTCAAAGGTTTGAACTTTCTCTGAAACAATGTGATTCTGAAATTTTGCAAAAAGCAGAAATTCTTTCTTCAGTGGAACCGATTTTGTCAGTCAGGTTGAAAATTAAGAAACATCTTTGGCACAAATGCAATAGTCCTATGTTTCGTACAGAGGTCACATTGCTGACTCAGTAGCAAGCTAGTTTAACGTTGATACAAGTACTCGATGTAAATCACATTCCTTATTGATGACGTATGTAATAGGCGTGGCTCGAATTAGGCGAATATCTCGTACGAACTGTGAAGATTTTGAATGAGGGTATGTGCAGAAGCAAGTTTCAGTCGAATTGAAGCAATATTTCGTTCTGAAATTGCCTTCAAATGTCCAGTTCAAACAAATTCTCTGTTTGCAAATAAATTGGCTTTTGTTATATCTAAGGGTTGGGCCAGAATGCACAGCTTACGTACAGTTGTTTTCAATACGTATTGGTTTTTTCTACCGTATGCCTCCCAGCCTCAACATGACGTGGATTGGTGTGGATTGATGTGGATTGGTGCGGCGCCGCCGAGAAAAGCAACGCGGCGCAAACCCGAAGCGATGCGGCGCCTCACCAATCCATACCAATCCACACCAATCCACACCAATCCACACCAATCCACACCAATCCACGTCATGTTGAGGCTGGAAGGCATACGGTATAAAAAACCAATACATATTGAAAACGACTGTACGTCGCGTATGCCGCGTATGCCACAAGTCTAGACTAACCCTACAGGACCCTTCACCCCGTCAGGTGAAAAAAATGCACTGCAACCTATAGAGATCCATTCGGCCATTTCAAAAGTCGAAGGATTTGGAGCTTCATCTAGACACTTTTGAGAAAGGAATTAGAATTTCTTGCTTGCATGCAGTACAGACCTTTTGGAACTTGTATTGAAAGTTAGGTTTGTGGTTGGTCGCAGTAAGTGGTTCGGCTACGCAGTGAGCCTAGGCGTCACCTCATTTTCGAATGACTCATACGTCATTAAGCAGTAGCCGAAGCATGAATTTGTATTCGAACTCTTGGTTTCACCTTGTTTTATCGTTTTTGTCTTTAGAAAAATTCAAAACTTGATCACAGAGACTTTTTCTGACACTGAAGCAGTCAAAGTTTAAATGAAAGCATAAAAAGCGACTGTTTGGTGCAAGTTTTTATAATGATGACATTTGTCACGATCAATTCTTTTTCTTTCTGCAGGTGCAATTTCTTGTCAACATCCTTGGTCACTACTTCTTGCTTCTCTATCCATCATTTCGATTTTGATAGCCTCTAATTGTTTCTTGCAGCATTTTTGCATAATTTCTAGATGACTTTGTACTTTTTTTGAAAAACTTTGAGTATCTGGTACATGTCAGACACATTCCAGTCACCAGAAGTTCAAAAGCAAAGACTGCTTATCTTGCTAAAACTGCATAGTTACATTAAATAAACAAATATTGCAAGAAAATAAATAAATATTGCAAGAAAATGTAAACACAATGCTGGAACACACTGGCTGCTACTAAACTCTGCATAAATTCTCCTTACTAAAAATTTGTAGAAATAAGCTATGATTCATCGTTTTAGTTTATGCAAGTATCATCACTACTCAATACTTCGTCGAACCCATTCAGATATCAAAAAATAGTGACTCACTGTAAGTCAGGTTTTTTCTTAGCGCTGGTTTTCCACAGCAAACGTTTCTCATGCCAAAAAGCACAGGCACCATCAACGTCCCTCATTCAATGGTGGTATGTGCATAAGTGTGTGAACATTTTCCCTTTCGACCTTGTTCTGATGCTTAAGAGACCACCACTTCTTTCCTCATAAGACCAACAATGATGATTTTTCTGTAGTTTAGTCTTCTCTCAAGCATTGCCAATATGATGGCAGCCATTCCTCTTAATTCTATGGGAACTTCATGTCAGGAAACGAATCGCTTGAGCGCGCTTGCTTCATTGAAAATTGGTTTATTTTCGTAGTAAAAAGATGTAAAAGTTTTTTTGTGGAATAGTTTTGCAGGCGATTGCTTGTCTTACTTAGCTTTCCCACATCCTATTGTCTTTGAAATGTGCAGACGGTTTCCATTTCTTTGAGTTGTCTGAATGAAGAAAATTACACAAGAGAGGCATGCTTTTCTAAGAAATGATTTTTTCTCAGCTTTCTTGATTCATACATAGAAGTGTTTATACATGCGTTCAGTTGATGGTTTATCTAACTTGTAAGGAAATGTGTAGTCTCCCAACTCCAAAAACATTGAAAGATAGAGCTAATACCAAACACTTTCAGGTGAGGCTTGGATTTAACAGTAATATGTGTCACACTACATTCTGCAAAAATTCTAGTCGTGAAAGGAGTTTGTCTAGGCATTCTCACTTTGTTTTTGACTGAAGTGCTTGATCTCAATGATTTCTTTCCTTTGTTTTAGAAAAATCCATTATCATCATGATTATTTCCAAATGCTCTCCTTTTTTGTCTATTACATCACTTATACTGTTTGATGGTTATTCGAATCATTTAGGTTTATGGACAAGTTTTTGCCTCGAAATCATTTGTATGTTATGATCGTCCCTTTATCGCGAAATCACATTTTCAACAAAACATTTTCCTTATCAAAGCATTGGTCATCTTAGACCGGGTTCCCTCCATCGTAGACTCTATGAAAATTTGCATGAATAATATCGTTCTGGCAAAAATATTTCAAGGAAATTGTTCCACACTAAAAGTTTTCACCGAATTCTCTTGAACATTTAATTTCGTTATCATTACCTCCTTTCGTAATTGAATCTTTTATGCTCAATAAATGTTAGAATGCTGTTCCTTCACCTCTCAAAAGGGTTGCACTTATGACTCAAGCTTCACTTTCGCATTCCATTATTGTGTCCATGAAACCTTCCTTGCTAAAATATGCTACATCAATGCTCAAAGCAGGTAGGAAATGAGGCGAAAAGTCATTTTAAACCAGTCAACTTGCATATCTCAAGCACTCGTACTTTGCTCAGAATACAAGTTTCTAATAACAAGTTTTGATAACGATTTGAAAGGTTTTTGACTGCACAAATATTTCAGCAAAATTAGCATCAATCACCCTTAATTGAAAACCTCGCTTACTTATTTCAGACCATTTTATGTGCGCATCCAATCATTGGTTGGTCCCTGCCCATGAAATTCTCGCCCTCCCTTGGCATCTGTTTCTTCCATAGTACAGTAATACCACGTTTTTACATCAAGTCAAAAGCATTCCTAACCTTTTGATTCCATTCTGCTCAGACAAATCACCGGAACTTCCGCAGGACAAACCAAATTTGCAGAAGTTTCGCAGGACTTTGTTCACCGTTGCAAAAATGAAAACGTTGAAAATCGGAACTTCCGCGGGATTTTTATGCCAAACTGGTTTTGAAAACCGGAACTTCCGCGGAACCTCCTTCAAAATCCTGCGGAAATTCCGAAAAATGCCAGAGGTTTCGCAGGACTTTGAATGTGTTGCCTCGTGATGTTGCCTCGCCAACAACTAGAGTGCATTATCGAACATGTCAGCCGCAGCGTAGAGGATAGCAGATGGGTCTCACAGTCAATAGGTTCAAATCTCACTTCGGTGTTCTCTTTTGCTGCTGCGGTCGGCATTCTTCGGAACTCCCACAGGACCTCATTTCGGAACTTCCGCAGCACGTTTATGGGACTTCCCTAGGTGACGCGACGTAACTTCCGCAAGCGCTCTGCGGAAGTCCCGGTCATTTGTCTGAGTGCCTATAAGCTGCCATTGCTTGCGTACGTATTGAACATGTTTACGATTTTGCTTACTCGTGATCCCAAGTTTTCATTTGTGTTAAGATAGAATATAATCCATTTATAGCTTTATCCTATGCAATATGCTCGGTTGGTTCACATCGTTCCGCGAGCATGGAGCGCCCACATTTTACGGGGAAAACCGCACACCGGTTACAATTGGTTAGTTTCATTAGTTTGATTTCGAAAATGTGCAGTTGATGCCAATGCAAGCTGCGGTATATCAATTAGCGATTCAGAAATGTGCTAAATTTCAGATACTCATATTGTGGGCCTAGTTTCGATCTTCTTGGTACCTGCAGTCACATTTCTTATAATTCTACCCGGTGTTCGCAAGCATCGTCTCTCATCCACATTTTCATTTTTATTCAATATGTACGTTGGAGCAACATTGTTAGGTAAGTTCGTTAATGGCAACTTTAAATGTAATAGGAGAATCATCAGAAATACTGTCCAAGCATGCAAAATCAGCACAACAATTACAGTTTCCCTGTATCATCCGTGCTGGCACCGTGCAGAAACGCCAATATCTACGTCGTACAAGGCGTTTTCAAATGCTAAGATGGATGCATACATACGCGTACGCGTTGGACTACAGTACCTGAACATTACGTTGAGCAGTATGTCACAATAATTGTTTATAAAATAGGCTACCAAATTATAAAGGCAATCAAAGATGTGGGTACTCGTAAATTGAACCTTTGCACTATCCGCTATCACTAAAAATATTCTTGAATTTGCCATTGGAAATGAGATTGAAATACTCATATTTAGTATCACGCGTTGTTACAGTTTGGTAGAAATACCAGCTATCTCACTAATGACTGAAAAAAGCCTTTCAAACGTATACTCAAGCACATTGCTTTTAGAAATTGGCTTCGGTAAGTTAAGTGGCGTGCAGGGGTGCGCATTAGTTGACTGCGATGGCAGAAGGGGAGATCAGCTGCTGAAGTTGGCTGCCGACGCCTCACATGAGGTCATTAATGAAAAAGAAACTTATTGTTAGAGGGCAATGTCTGAACCAGCGCAGCTGCTTCGAGATACGGTGCAAAAACTCAGCTTATCTCTAACAATAAGGTAATTCGTCGGAATTTCTGCACCTTTTCTAGCATTCTCTGAGTTTAGATGGTAATGCATGCTCAACTGCAACTATGAAATTGTTTGTACAAGAAAGGATGATAGGGGTCGAAAGGATGTTATTTATCAACTAGCGTGATTTGCTAAAAGTTGAATAATTCCATTTAGATAAACTTAAAATTGATAGGAATACATCTTAAAGTGATAGACTTACTGTCGCGGCTCGCGATGCAAGCCACTCCTTGAAACAGGAGGCCGGGAGCGCTGGCTATCGCGTTACTTGGCGCGCTGCCCATTTCGCGCCAAGACCTCTCCTGCTGGGCGCGTTGCCAAGTCACAGGGTATATGAGGGCGCGCAGGCCGCGGTCTACGCCTTTTCGAGTTTCGTTCGTATCGATCGTTCTATGATATCGTTTGTGCTGGCAGCGCCTCCAACAGCTCCCACAGTGATCATCGGTTTCGAGCGGTTGAGCTTTTGTTATCTTCTTGGTTTTGGAGACGTGCAGCTAAAAGTCACGGTTCGTCTTGCGTAGGAAGTGTACTAGCGGGAGTGGAGAGAGGTCACACCGTCTCGGAAGGGCTAGGGGCTTGCGGTTGACCCAGCGGAGAGCCCGGAACTATTGTTGGAGTTGAATCACCATCAGCATCGGCAGCGCGAGACGAGGCGGCTCGTCCCGTGCCTAATTTTTCCTGGGTTTGAAGTAATAGTTTTAGTAGTTATGATAGTTTTTATTGTTGCGTATATTTGTAGATAAATGTATCTGAACTAGTCGGTTCCTTCTTTTGTTAGCGTTACGCGCTATTTATTGTGCCGTCCATACGGGTAGGGGGTAGTCCTCGGCAGCGCCCGTCAAGGCGTCATGAACTTTAGCGGACGCGCGACATCATAGGGGACAATAGGGAGGTGGGTGTAACTGCGGCGAGCACTTGCGGGAAGGTGCTGATCACACCGAGCAGCCACACTTACTATTTTAGTGTCCACCTTTTGCTTTGTTAGCATATATAAAATTCTAAAAGGTCTTTGCAGCGGGTGCCATTCACGGAGACGATAATGTGGTGTTACAAGAGGGTATACTCTACAACGAACGGTTCAGCTTCTCAGAAGGTGAGACGAGCTTTTTTGGTGTCAAAATGTCGGCCTAAGTCAGACAAAAAAAACTCAACATTTTAGTGAATAAAATGGAGAAGGAGTTATCAAATGCACTTACTAAAGGGCTGCCCTTTCCTATACTGAAGGTGAGAACTATCTCTGCAGAACGATTGGAACAAGCAATGCATAAGCTTTAGGTAATCGAATATCTTTCCGATGACGTCTTCAGCTGGGGTAGACAATATAGAGTTGCCGGATACTACACCGCCTGCATGATGTGGTAAGCAATTGACAAACGAGAACTGTAGTGAGATCAAGCGAGATCTTATTTATCAGTTTGGCTTATCATTCAACAGAGCAGAGCGAGCTTGTCTGCATAAACATGAAGCTTGAATCTGATATTAATGGTATTGCCTTCCCAAAACATCTTGAAATTTTATACTTACCCAGAGCGTTAATCCGACACAATCATCATTTAACTATGCGCTTTCCGTATTTCTTCCATAGATGAAATGAGCAGGGGTGATGAAAAGGGAAACTCCGCCCTTAGTGGCACTGGTTTCTCTCACAAACGTAATCATTTAGCACATTCATACAGATGTACGTTCACATATTTGTACCTTTCTAGAAATCATTCTCAATAAAAAATGATTTTTTAATGCTGCAACGGAAAAAAATTGTGAGACAACCGGTTAAAAAAATCGGGTAGGGTCTTTCATATCATATTTTGAAAGTGAACATATACGAAATTAATTTTCAAAATTTTATTAAACCTCATCACTATATGAGTGTGCTAAAAATAATCGTTGACATCTCCTCTCTCGAATTTGAAAAAGTTTTGAAGTCATTTTAGATAGAGCAAATACAGCAACAGCATGCGTATTTCATAGGTGGACTAGCGTAAATTCTAAAACATATGCAACAAAGACTGAGCATAGATTTTCATGTTTTGCACCATACCTGCGATTTTGGCAAGAGTGGGCGAGATTAGTGATAAGATGTGACTTTTCCATTAATGTAGGTTACAAAACACAAAATAAACTTGTGACTGTCCAAAATTTACGGTGCTTCACTTTCAGGTTGGCTTTCTACACTTGGATTGTATCATTCGTATGTCTCTCATTCCTGCCACACTACTTCGCTAGATGTGTTTTCTATACCGGAATGTTCATGGGAATAGGTTGTTAAAGGAGCATTTCATCAAGTTGAATAAAATTGTTACATCTAGGTGACATTATATTCATTCTGAATATACCTCGACGTATGGATATTCGATTTCCAACCCAAGACGGTGATACTCTTCTGAAGTTTCGACTTTCAATATGTTTTCAAGCGACTTGCGTAGCAGGTCGGTTGTCAGTATTACATACAAGATTTTTGCTTTGCAAGAACATTTTACAGCTGCGCTGTGTATACTCATTGGAGGTCTACTCTGGATTCTTCACCGTAAAGACATCTACCATTTCGATACAATTTTCTCAGCACGTCGCCACGCTGAGGGAAGCGTTGTTGACGTCTATCGTGACGACGACAGTATAACGACAATAACTATAAGCGATCGTAGTTATGACTCTTCAAATAAGCGTGTCTCTCTCACTCAGTCAATTCAATCAACCGCCCCCACTACTGCATCTGCTTTTTCTAGTATCTACTTTTACCCTGAACCTTATTCCGAAACAGTAAGACTCTAACAGTCGGCTTTTTTTTTTTCGAATTTGCTTTAATTCATTCCACAAAATGCTTCCCGAATCGTCGGAATCAAGGCAGAGATCCAAAATGTGCTAGAGGCGAAAAACGTACAGACATATTAGCGACTGTTAAACATGAATGATACGTCCCACTATGATAATTACCATGTTATTAGTCTCCTCGTGAAATCAATAGGTTGTTGGCCACGCAACCAAGCACAAGTTTGGACCAAAGGATATTTGAGCCTGCGACTCGATGTTACCATTATAGTTGAGAAATCATAATGACCTTTGAGACTTGACTTAAAGGCAGTGTCCCGGCAGATTCGGGTCCTGGGGGATATACGTGTGGGGGGTTCCTGGTCACCCCACCGACCTCCAGGCGCAGTCCGGCTGGGTGATGTTCCCCCTGGGCTGAGAAAATGGCCCTTGACCCGGCGCGCGTAACCCCAACCGGCGCGCGCCCGGACGGCCCTCCCCGTCCGTGCGGTGCGAGACTCCACGAGCGCTCTCCCCATGGTAGCAAAAATTACAGGCGGCAGGGTCTTCGCCTGAGGACCTCCCAACTTTCCATCAAAAATCTCGTCCGAGCTGCTTTTCTGGAATTAGGAAAACGCCCCAAAATCGGCCTTTTCAGTCCGTTCAAAGCTCAAATTCGGGTTCTACGTGGCGAAAAGGCCTAAAACATGCAGAAAGGTGGAGGTGCAAAATCTACCGGAACACTGCCTTTAAGCAAAAAACTATTTACTTGCTAATTGTCATTTAGAGACCGTGGCTCAACCGCACTAAAGGCAGCGGCTGTGCAAATCTTTCAAATTTCAAAGTTTGCGTGCTCGAGTAAGAGGAAATACCGTTTTAGGAATAAACAATTTATCTGACATTTGCCGTAAATAGGATTTTTGTTACTGGAAACTCCCCAATGCGGATTGCACACTCTCAGCATATCATTTTGGGCCCAGTTTCAGCACTTAAGTGAGATTTTAGCCGGTTGGACTTTGCTTATGAAGGGAAACTTAGGGAATCCTTCAAGAGAGTCCCTTTTTCTTGATTTGACCGAGTCGCTGCATTTTAATGTGATAGGTTGATTGAGCAGATAAGATATTAGGTTGTCCGGAAAATAATGTCGCATGGCATCCTACCGCGACAAAATGACCATAAAAAATAGCGAATGGGGTATCATTTGAAAGAGCAAAGCAAGCTCTACAAGATAATTTACAAAACTATGCGGAAATCGTGCTCCACCTGAAGTTCAAATTCAAAATGTAAAAATTTTTAGATATCCGAAAAATCGTATCTCGGTTGACGTCTTATGGATCTCCAATTTGCACAGGCATATACTCTCTACACTAGACATTCACCTGCATAGTTTGTGGTATTTTTCCTTGGCTACAGTACGAGAAATAAAAATGGGTCAAAAGTGCGAATATGTCGCGTTTTTCGGGTTTTTGCAAACAATTTGATTTTCCTCGAAAACCAGCGCTTGTCTAAAGCTGAAAATTTAAGGTTATAATCCTAAAGGTTCATGCTACAGAATCACCCATGTGAGAGAAGCTCAAGATTGTTTTGGCAAAAATGTGTCGAATTTCGTTTTCTCAATTTTCAGCCATGGAAAAACCGCGAAAATGTGCATACTTGTGTCACGTATAGTGAGTCCACGCGTGAGCAAGTTAGGGGTTCCGAGGACGTTTCGAAACGGAGATACGATTTTTTTTTCGTTTTTTTAGATCTTTGGTGCCTTGTGAAATTTGGCTCCAAACTCCACGCAAATCAAACCTGGCGCAAAGGATCGAGGTTCATTTTGTAGAGCTCGTTTTGATCTATCGGTTCATACCCCATTTACTTACTTTCGTGCTCACCCTGCCACGATATTGCATGTTAAAATAAAGCGACATTATTTTCCGGACAACCTAATACAGGGTGTCCCAAAAAAATGTGCCTACTGTTTGATTGTAAATAACTCTCTTGTAATGAAGTGTTTCGAGAAGCTTTAGGCACCGTTTTGTAAAGCGAGCTTGAACTTAGATTCGCATTATGGGAGCGAATCATCTATCGCTCTTCATTACTGTAGGATTACGGTACGAACTTCGACAAGGATTTTATGTCATTGGAGGCTATATTCTGCCTCGGAATAAAACCAAACAAGCCAGAAACTCTTACATTATGGTAATGGGAGCCGCTGATCTCGAATTTGAAATTCCCATTTTACTGTGATGCTTCTTTCCTAAGTTATCGCCGGTAAATCGTGATAAATCAATTCCTTGCATTTGTCAGAAATGTAATTACACCGTCAAAAAAGCTGAAAACACTCGTAAAAAGTTGTTAGGTGGAATCAGCATGCGCGAAAACCCTAGTATACGATTTTTCAGATTTTTTGAAAAAATTTTTGTTAAATGGTATATTTCACAATGGTTCCATATGCTGGAAGTTCATACCGTAATCTTACAGTAATGGAGAGCGATCGATGATTCGTTCCATACTGTAAATCTAAGTTCAACCTCGCTCTACAAAACGGTACCTAAAGCTTCTCGAAACACTTCATTACAAGAGAGTTATTTACAATCAAACAGTAGGCACATTTTTTTGGGACACCCTGTATTTGCCACTATTGTTGCCCTTCTCATGTCAGTCTGTAAGACATGGTAAATTGAATTTTTTTTCAAACTTTTCAAATGATCACAAGCTTCCCTCATGCTTCAAATGGTTACCGCCGCACAAACTGGAGCGTCGAGATAAGTCTTTTTACAAATGTTTAGTGCCATCAATTTTCATTCGATTGATCAGCCTGAGCACCTTATGCAAAAACTCTGAGCCAGGCAGAGTTTACATAACTTGCAAATCAAATTTTGTATTATTTCTCGCTTTTTCCAAACAAAAGTGCGCCGATTCAAGTTGCCCATGCATGTTGGGTTGAAAGGGCTACATTCTAAGGACCTACCACAACTAAGGCTGTCATGTTGAGCACATTGCAAGAATCTCTTAACTGCGAAGAAAAAAGTCCAGCGGAACTATCTCCGTGCGCACCACTTTCTGCTCCCTTTTGTGACTCAGAATTGAGCCAGACTTGCGCCGTCGTTGCATTCTGCTCGGCTCAGTTTGGCCTAACCCTGAAGTGAAGTAAAAAAATCCCTTTTCTCGATAAGTCAGAAGAAAGTAAGAAGCCTAACAGATAATTCGATGGGCTTTTCAATAGTGCTGGCTCTCTTGATCTTATCAACATATGCTTAGCAGAAAATCGCGCGGTATGTTATGACTCGTTTTCACGTCTCCTATTCCTTGCAATCGTAACTTGCCTTCTTAGTTCTTTCAATATGGATTGTTTGTAAGCTCGTAAGCGATATTACTTGATGTTTTTATGCTTGACTCTGCACACCTTGTAATGAGTAGAACTCATAGATTTACAGTTGTTACGTGTAGCACTTTTATGCGGGTATCTTATAGTCCATGTCTTTTTGCTTTGCAATTTGTATGTTTGCTCTATTATAAATGATTCTGAACATACTTGTAAAAGGGGACGAGTGGCGTAGTGGTATGAGGCGCCGCTATGACCAGATCGGACACAGGTTCGATCCCCGCCCCTGGGCCAACCAAGCCCTCTACCCTCCGGGGCCGGTAAATTGGTACCAGAGTAATCTGGGAGGATAAAAGCACTGACTTGGAAACGGCTGGCCCCCGCAATTCACTGTAATAGGCTCGCACGCATACAATTGCCTCTTCGACCACGAAGTTAGTGTGTGCGTTCGGCGCATGCCCTCAGAGGGTATTGAAGACGCCGAATCCTTTATCCTTTATTATACTTGTAAAACGCACGCTACTTGTATGGCTAGAAACAACCGCCTTCTCTCAGTTGCAGCAAGATGGGACTATACGTCGCGGGTGGCCCACGCGGACATCTGCAACGGAGCACGTAGGGTACGTATTACGCACATTGCAAATTTGTACCACAGCATCAGCAGCAGTTTTTCGCCTACCCTAGATGCTGAATAGAGTCCAAAAATAACCCATAGTTTCTGCTCAAGAAAGCCCTAAGCCCCCGACCCGCCCCGGAGTGTGTGTACCAAGTTTGCGGATGGGTTCAGAAATAGAAATTACTAATCGGAACGTACGTATGCGCACGCAGACAGAGAACAGACAGACAAACAGCTTTATTAATACAGATGTATTTTGTGTTCTACGCTCGACCTTGCCACCTTGAGGCCAAATTTTCAATCGCATTTTTTAAGGACACCCGGATCTTGCCCTAGCAAAAATCATCTGATAACGCCTGAGATCCTCTCTATAATCGTAACATGCGTTATTTATGTGGTTTGACAAAGGAGCGGAATAACTGACTGGTAGGGCGAGATGAGAGAGAGGTGGATTTGCTGTACCTCCCATCCAGATTTTACACAACAGCTCTGAAGTTTTTGCGGAAGGTTACGTTTTCTATGCAGGAGATTCACCGGGCCCTATTTGGTGAGCAATTTCTGCAGTATATGGCCTCGTTCAAATGGTGTAGTTGGATGGCGTACAATTACGGCCGCAGTTAAATGGTATGTTCTCGCCCAGCGCCTCTGTGCATATTGCCTCTCAGCATTTGAGAACGCTAATCATTAAGTAATTGGAAATCTTTTTTAACATTTGAATGAGGCGGTTTTTTTGAGGAAGTTAATTCCTTTCTTTGTCTCGCACTGACGTACAAGTGAACATTTTCATTGCCCGCATCAATTCCTCGCGAAAAAGGATCCTTTCTGTAAGCAAAAAAAGACCAAGTGGTAAAAGTATTCCTTTTGTCTTCCAAAAACTCCATTCTCGGAAGCTGAGAGATTAAAGAAAACAATGTTTTGGCAACTAGCACTTGAACAGCATGATCAGCTCATAGCCGCAAATATTTCTTCCACAGAAATGTGGAAGAGAATGAAAACAAATAAAGACAACCTGATGTTTCGCGCATTCCTTATCTGTTTCCTTATTTTCTGTTTCCCTACCTTCCAACCTCCGAAAAGATATGACTGTCTTGCATATATATTTGTTAGAATACCACCAAAAAGGCAATCGAACAGTAGATTGATAGAAGCCCCAGCGATTTTTGCGAGAAGTAGAGGTGCTCCCGTCATTTAGAGCAAAAGCAGTATAAGCCTTATTAGCTCTTGTCATCACCAGCAGATAAGTCCACTTTTTTCCAAGA